AAGATTATCAGCACAAAACCTTTCTCACTAATTTCTAGCCTTATTAACAGGAGTACAAACGTTTTCGGCCTTCTTAATAGGCCTTCCTTGGGTACACTGTGGAGCGTCGGTTAGAAGAAGTTTCACAGTATACCCGAGGAAGGCCTATTAAGAAGGCCGAAAACGTTTGTACTCCTGTTAATAAGGCTAGAAATTAGTGAGAAAGGTTTTGTGCTGATAATATTTGATGTCATAAGTGAGAATATAAAGTTTTATAAACTTGTACAGACAAAAAATTATAAATTATTAATTGTCATATTATTGTTTATCTATTATTATGCTTTCAGATTTTTTATAGAAAGCTTGATAATTAGGCTATTTTGAATATATTTTAAAAGTTTTAGAGCAATCAAATAATGGTATTTCAAAGATATAATAATTTAAATTTATTTTTATAGATACAGATAGATATTTTTATATTTTTACTGATATTTTCAATAGCTATAACAATTTATATATTCACAAAATTAATTGTATAGTTATGTTAAATTTTATATTTTGAGATTAATATATAATTGAAAATTATTTTCAGTATATTTTTAGATTAATATTTGAATTTTCTCTTTTTATTTTTATTTGAAGTTACTTTATTTCTGACTTTTTCAAATTATTTAGTTGTGCTACTTCAAATTTGAAGAGGGTTTCTTTAGAATTAGGTGGTAAATCACCACTTATTATATTCTCTGATTGTGACTTAGAAAAAGCAGTAAGACAAGTACGTGTAAAATTTTATAAAATTATTGCAGTTATTGAATTGTTGCTTGATTTAATTAATAATTTTTCTTTAAACTAAGCTTTAGATTTTACATATATAAAAATAAAAACATCTAAACCATTATGTATCATAATATAGACAAATAAATATGCAGATAAATCAAATTTAAAACATTAATAGTAGTATTTTCTCAAATATATATGTATTAAAATTTTAATACCTTAAGAAAAACCCCTTTATATTAAGATAAATAAAAGCTTAAGGTTTTAAATTTTAAAATTAATTTTATATAAAGTAAAACAAATAAATGATAATCTTTCAAGAAAGATAAACTGATACTTCAAGAAAATAAAAATGTTTGTTTTGTGTATATTTTCATATCTAACTAGTTTAATTCAATTGTATTCAAATAACAAATAAAAACAACTTTTAAATATTAGCATTTTTTAAATTTGTTTGAATTAAATACAATTTTATTAAGTAAATAATATATACTGAAGATGGATTTATAAAATATACATCAGTTTTATTTAATAAATGTCATATAATTAAATTTCAATTTTATAGATGAAATTCTTTTTTATTTGTTCATATAGCATTCAATACACAAATTTAATTAAATATCAATAAAAAGTTTTGGATAAAAAGGAAATTCAGATAGAAAAAATTTGGTCTGTTTTATAGAAGTTCTGTGAATGCTTTAAGTAATCAATATTACTATAATTAATTTTAAAGTAATCAACTATGAAAAACTATGAATAATAGAAAAAAAGTTTTTTTTGGATAAATTAATAACAACAATAATGATAATATTCTTTTAAAGAGATTTTTAAATGTTTTTTCAGAGTATGAGTGGTGTTTATTTCAATAAAGGTGAAAATTGTATTGCTGCTGGACGTTTATTTGTTGAAGAAGCAATACATGATGAATTTGTAAATAAAGTGGTAAAAAAATCTTTAATTTTGCATTTTATTTTATATGTTAAACTTTAAAAGTTTAACAAATAAGTTTTTGAAAAGCAAAAGATTTTAAATTCTTTTATTTTACTAGATAGAAGAAACAAAAAAAATTGCTATTGGTGACCCATTAGATCGCTCGACTCACCACGGACCACAGAATCATAAGTAACTCCTTGAAAATTAAATAAAATAATAACAATAATAATAATAATATTGACTGTCATATCATATTAAAAAAATTGTTTTTAATTGAATTCCAGAGCACATCTAGATAAACTTTTAGAATATTGTGAAATTGGAATAAAAGAAGGAGCTAAACTTGTCTATGGAGGAAAACGGTTAAATAGATCAGGTAGCATAATTTAAAAACATTTTTTTTTTTAAGTTGTGTATTAAATTATTAAAACTTTATCAATTTTTTTAAAGTTTAATGACTTATTAATAACACATGAATTTTTTTTATAACTTTAATTCTGTTTAATTAATTTGATAACAAATAAGTATATTTATTATTTATACTTGAATGAATAATTGTTAATAATTTATTTATTATCCATAATGAATTGCCTAAGGTACAATTAAAAATTTTATATAGTAATGAACTGAATAACGTATTGATTAAAGTAATGAGTTTCTAGCATTTTAACATATGTTTTTCATTTAAATATGAAATTAATATTTATAATAGTTTACTGAAAATTTTTAATTTATTTCCAAATGCAGAAATGATTTGATTGATAAACAAAGGATAACATAAACAAAATTCTTATTCTTGCAATATTCAAAGTTATATTTTATTAAATAATACATGCAACCTCTTTTGCAGCATATACTGTATTGAAAATTATTGAATATAAGGATAAAATATAATTATTTTCACTTAAAAAATAATTTTCTCAAAGCAAAATTTGATATACAATATAATATCTTTATATCTTTATTAGTCAAGAAGTGCATTTTAGATTTCATACTATACCTCTCTCCTATATACAGTACAACCCCCTATAACACTGTAAATAATTTCGTGTTATATGAATTCCATGTTGTACGAGTCACTTAGATTTTACAAATACGTGAGCCGTTCACAGCCTGGCACACGTATTTGTAAAATCTAAGTGACTTCTACAACATGGAATTCATATAACACGGAATTATCTACAGTGTTATAGGGGGTCTACTGTATAACAATTAAATGTGAATAGTATGAATTCTTCATATTGTTATAATTGAAAATATTGTTCTAGCTTAATTTTTAAACAGAATTACTCTATAATTAACAGTTTTTAATTTAAAAACATGTATAAAATCAAATAGGTTGTTAAACAGATGGTGAATAAACAGTTGGTTTTAAATTTAAAATTAATTATCTGATTTACAATTATTGTAATTTTCTTATTTGATTTTTTTGTTTCTATTTTGTCAGAGATTAATTGTTAAAATAATTCAATTACAAAATTAACATTAAAAAGTTATAAGTAAAATATTCATGATAAAAATATTATTTTCTTTATTTATCATAAAAATTTCTATTATATTATTAAATTTTATATTAATGCTTCAAAATGATTTAATTTTGGTAAATAGAAAATATGGCTTTTATATATATACATATATATAATGAATTTTTAATGTAATTTTTACATAGTTAAGGAATTCATTAGTTTATCTTTAATGAATATTTAACGCTGTGCACGTGGAGATTTAATTCCCGTTTGGAAACAAATAAAAAATTAAATAAAAATAATTGATTTATATTTATTTTGTAACTATTCAGTTTCTCCATAATCTACTGTATTGGGTTACTTTACATACCAATATTGTAAAAATTAATAAAATGTGTTACGGAAAAATAATGGCTCTTTTAAACCCCACTCTTCACGTGTATAACTTATATGCTTTATGTGATATTTCCAAATTGTACTTTATATGGCATAGTTTTGAAAGTAGTATACTTGATTTATACAGTCGACCCCCTATAACACTGTAGATAATTTCGTTTTATATGAATTCCATGTTGTACGAGTCACTTAGATTTTACAAATACATGAGCCGTTCACAGCCTGGCACACGTATTTGTAAAATCTAAGTGACTTCTACAACATGGNTTTTAATAAATTTTATTATAAATGAATTAATTTGAAAGATTTCTTTCCGTATAGTGATATCGAAGGAGTTTTAAGACGCGCGAATGCAACAGAGTTTGGTTTAGCTTCGGGGGTTTTCACCAGAGATATATCTAAGGCGATGTACGTAAGCGATCGCATTGAATCCGGAACTTGTTTCGTCAATTGCTATAATAAAACGGACGTCGCCGCTCCTTTCGGAGGTTTCAAACAATCCGGATTTGGCAAGGATCTCGGTAACTACAGAAATATTCTTATTTTTCTTTCTTTTTTTTAAATTAATAATTAAATTGAAAAATCTTCATTCAAATTTCATTTGCAGGTGAAGAAGCACTTAATGAATATCTCCGGACAAAAGCTATCACAATAGAATTTTAAATGAAGTATGAAAGCTGTTTCTTTATTTAAAAAGTTAAATTAATACAAAATAAAATTTAAAAAGTAAATTTATTTTTCAGGATTTAATAAATGTTTAATAAAAGATGCCAAAAGAGTTCACCTCTTCGAAGGGAAAATAATTAAAATAATTTTGTAAAAATTGTAAATTTTACTAATAAATATATTCTTGAGTGAAAAAAAGACGTTTTAATTTCATTTATTTACTAGTTTTTTTAAATTAAAAATAAACATATTCAACATAAAATATAATATATTTTTTATAATACTTCTTTATTATCCTTATTTATATATCCAGTTGACAAATTAGTAAAAGTATTTTTTAAAATTAATATAATAATAAATTATCCTTAATATAAATTTAATTGGATTACTAATATAAATTCTTAATTATATTTAAAAGTTTAATTTTCTTGCAAATTAATTAATTAATTATCTCTTGAAGGGATAAAATGGATTATTTATATTACAAGACTTAAAAGTGTTGTGGGGAAGCAGCTTTTACAGGAAAATTTGCTCTCTTTTTTTTCTTTTTTTCTTTTTAAAGAGGAATATTTCCTTTAATATTTTAATATCGAATTCTTTTAAAACATTTATATATTTTTTTTTATTATCAATCAGTCGAACCATACCTGTATGTGGCAATTTCCGATCGATTTTAATCCAGGAAGTTGTGCTGAGTCACAGAAATCTTGTACTGTAATACCGATTATCAATTCAACGTGTCGAGATTTTTCTCTTTAAAATACGTTATTGAGATAATTATTCTATTTTATTATACATTATATATATATTATAATATTTAATCTATATGTAATTAATAGATTAAATTGAATTTTTCTATTAAATTTTAAGAGATTGTTGGTGGTTTAATGTTTCCTAGCACAAGAATTCGGAGAATGTTTACTATCTCTAGTGTGCTGTTCATTGTAGAAGATTTATGTCATCCATTTAAGTATATAAAATAGTCTAGACTCTATTTCCATGCGATAATACAGGATGTTACTGCTTTAATCAATTAAACTAAAACGATGTATAAGGGTGATGTTTACATTAGTTTATAAGATCTTCTACACTTATTGTCTATAATTTATAGACCATTCTATTAAGTTAATTTTTTTATCTTATGTTAAATTGTTTGAAGAACGACGTGTGTGTGGGGGGTGAGGGGAGGAGCGTGGAGTTGCTATTGTTTTCACATTTGTGTCCCACTCACCTGCCCACATCTCATGTAGAGAAGTGACTAACGCATGCGCTACGTAAAAGTCGATGGATGTTATACAGTATCAAAACAGTCAGTGGCGCTATAGTCGGTCTCATCCGAAGGTCGCGTAAAGTAAGAGTTGTATACAATGATGTCGGATGAGACACAGTAATGACGGAAACTTATCAACAAGAGGGAAAGGGTCAGGAGGAGGAAAACGCATCGCAACAGACGGAAAGAACAGGAACAGCGGGAGCTGGACTGACGCCTAACGAAAATCTTCAATCTTCATGGAAATTAGGTGGATCACGTGTGGATTTGGCCAGTACGGTCAGAGGAGCTATCACTCTGTCAAGTGCCACGATACCTACAAGAAAAGAACATTTTTACGAACTGTTCTGGAAGCATAAACACGCGACGGTAACGTTATGTTCTGTTTTTTGGAGTTTTGGTCTCTGTGTGGCTTTCCTCGGTCCCACACTATTAGATCTAGGATGCAAAACCAGTACTGTTTTTTCAACTATGTCATGGGTGTTCTTCAGTCAGTCTCTATTTATTCTTTTGGGATCTGCCTGTGGAGGTATTCTTGTACAAAGGTAAGAACATTTTTTTCCCTTCTTCTTCTTCTTCTTCTTTAATTGAAATATTAACCGTTTTTTTGAAGGTTAATTTTTGGGCGTGGTATTCGCGTGAAACGGAGATTTTATGCCGTGATTTCTTAGTCCGTTTTAACGTAAAAATATATTTCTGAATTAAATACCTATATGTCAGTCGATGTATTAATTAACAGTATGAGAATTTTCTATTATAAAAACTTCTCAAACTGTTAAAAGCGATGGAAAAAATATTATTTTAAAATACACGAAATACCTTTTTTTTTGTAGTTTTATTTCATTTATAATTCGTCGAAGATTTTTTTTTAACTTAAAAAAGAAAAATTTTTCTATTGTTGAAAGTCAATAGATAGTAAGTCTATAAAGAAGACATACAAAAATAACGGTATGGACTTTTTCAATGGAAGCGCAACCGAAACGAGTGTTCGGTAATCGTGTTATTCGTGTTTCTCGGGCATACTGCCAAAATAATATTCATAGCGACTTTGTGCCTCCATCGGACTTCAAAAAGAAATAAATCTTCGATCAATTTATTTTATTGCCTGTATACGTCCTTGTGAGAGAATCTACACAAAAATCCATCGTCAAAAAAAAAAACATGCAAAATCATGCGTTGTTCACATCGATCGAAATTTATTCAATAAAATTAAACCGCATTTAAATAATAATAATAATAATAAATTACAATACAGTCGACCCCTCTATAACACTATTGATTATTCCGTTTTATATGAATTCCATGTTGTACGAGTCACTTAGATCTTACAAATACGTGAGCCGTTCACATCCTGGCACACGTATTTGTAAGATCTAAGTGACTCGTACAACATGGAATTCATATAAAACGGAATAATCAACAGTGTTATAGGGGGATCGACTTTTTTTGTATTGATTTAAATGGGAATTTATTCTATCGTGGTAAGAAAAACGCGTAACTTCCTATCATTATATAAGTCTCTTTTAGCTTGTTTATGTCCTTTACATATGTAAATTCTATAAAACTACTTTCTTTTCTATGTAATTTTATAGTTTCCATCATTTGTCTACACGGAATAGCCATCAAAAAAGAATGACATTATCCATCACATAAATAAACCTGTAACCCCTATAGCAATATTTTCTTTTGTTACCCTCTAGGGTCTCAAAATGAGTAAATTTACTATCTTTCGTTCTATTAAATAAAAGGGGCGATAGTTTAATATACAGATATATAAATTAAAGAGCTTATACAATTTTTCCTTCTATAAATGCTTTTCCATTAAAGCTCTTAACATAAGCTTCATTCTCTTCTATTGTTCTATTATCTAGTTGTTTGTTTTCTTATTTATGTAATCTCTCCATATCGACATCGGTAAATCGCTTATATTAATATATATATATATATAAAAACAGAAATAAATCATTGGAATTGAAGGAGATAACGCTTAATATTTCATCAATTATCATTTGTATACGCGTTTTAGTCGCATAACGTTATGTTTTTCTTAATCGCTGTCGAGTGGAAAATCTTTATAATGGACGATAATAACAGTTTCTACCACAAGCTAATTACATAAACATATATTCTTCTGCGGAAGTGAAGGATTATCAATCACCAATGGAGTAGAACTACATTGTCGACACATTCTAACAATACGTGTTAACAAGGACGACGATGGATGTTCCCACTAATTCCGCCATCTTTAAAAGGGATTTAAATTCCTCTATGTAATTTAAATCGTTCAAAATATATGAATAAAATTCTTATATTGATTAACAAAACTTATATTATCTCACTTCCAGCACATGTTCGTTTAATATTACTTATTTCCGTTATATTATCGTAAGGAAATATATATTTTTTATTACTTAAAACTTAGATTTATCCATTTTAAGATAAAGTGTAAAGATTGTTTACTATTGAGAAATTTTAAAGTCGTTTTATTATTCGAGATACCATTGTAATAAAGTAATAGAAATACAACGATTCCAAGTGAATTAATTTAGACATTAAAAAATTAATTTTCTCCTTCTTATTAAAAGTTATAAGTGTCAAAATTTGGCATTTTGATTTTATTCTTTCCCTCCTCCCCCTCGAGTTAAATTCGTTTTAGTGACGGTGATAGAAAAAAAAAAAAAAAGACAAAAGACAGAGACGGGCGTTACTATAGCAACACGACATCCGATGACAAACTCGAAAAAAGCTAAGGGATGAGAGAAAAGACACTTCCCAAAGAGAAATGCGTTAAAATATTGTATAAACCACCCCTATAGAGATAAAGAGAAAGAGATTTTAAACTTTTCTTATTCCTCCGGATGAGGATGTACGTGGGAGGATGAGGAGGAGGAGGAAGAGGAGGATATTTACGTCATTGTTTTCATCGTATTTATTTAGTACTGTTTACGAGTTTTACATTATCATCGTTTTAACGTAATTGTACGTCGCGGCATATTTATACATTCGATTGGATGAAGTTATATTTCAAAAACTTGACAACATTCGTTACTTCGGTAGGGGTTCTTCATTTTATTGATCTCCAGCAGTGCTGATGAAATGTTACTCTATTTATCTTCATTTACCGATCCTTTTAAGCTGGATTCTGCATTCTGTATACGCTACAACGTCTAGTTTGGGAATTTCGAAACGGAATCGCGTAATATTTTAATATTAATTTATTTAAAAAAAAAAAAAATACACGAGGAAATGGAGAATCCGTAAAATTTTCGTTTAACGCGATTGAAATTTTTATTACGCGTGACATTCGCTCCCCGCGTGAAGGGTACAATCGATAAAGTAAATACTGTGATCCATTTTATCCATGGGTGTGGTCGTATATTGTATTAGAATCAACCCTAACACGACATTGTAGACCCCTTTTATCTAGTGTAGCCGTTTTATCTGTTATAAGGAGCGAAGAGCAATATATTATCCTTTCTATAGAGTAACTCTGTTTTTTTCCTACTGTATTAGATCAGATAGGAATGAAGCGAAGGAATGCCACTGATATCTTTTCCCTTCTTCTTTTTTTTATTCCTCTAAGTAATCATAAACGTAATAACTCTTTGTAATTCTTTTCCTATTATCAGTAGTCATCCTTATACTATTTTTTTATCATTAATAGAAGGGTGGGATTATTAACTATTATTGATTTAATAAACTTTAAACTTTCGTTGACGTGGAAAAAAAAAAGAAACGATGATAATAGGAGAATTAATGAGAGAAAAATTTCCGAATTTCGTAGCTATTTATCTTTATTAATTTACGTATTTTTAACACGCGGAAAGTTGTAAAATAAATTAAACCATTACACGAAAGTTATTCTTATTTTTTTCTAAATTACCATTCGATGTTAAGTAATAAAGTATATTAAAATTAATG